CAGGGGCGGGGGCTGGTCTCATAGGACCAGGGCCTGGTTGACCAAATAAGGACTTGGGCTTTACTGCTTGACTGTCCCCATGTGCCTGAGAGGCACCCAAAGATGGATGCACTCAGAGAGGAAAGGAAAGCGATCTCGGTCATGCAGCCTGTCCCCTGCTGGCCCGCACCCTGGGTGATGAGCCCCGCCTGTCTCCCTGTAGGCTCTGCCCTGTGTCCTAGGGCTCGGGATGCTGCTGGCCCTGCCAGGGGCTCTGGGCTCAGGTGGTGCCAACCACGGCGTGGGCTCCAGCTCTGTCACTGTTGTCCTGCTGCTGCTGCTGCTCCTGCTACTGGCCACTGGCCTGGCTCTGGCCTGGTGCCGCCTCAGCCGAGACTCAGGGGGCTACTACCACCCAGTCCGCCTGGGGGCTGCGCTGTGGCAACGCACCTGCCGCCTGCTCTGGGCCAGCCCCCCAGGCCGCTGGCTGCAGACCCGGGCTGAGCAGGGGTCACCAGACAACGACCCAGAGCAGCAAGAGGATGAGCAGGAGGCAGAAGACGACTACGTTACGGATGGTGGCCTGTGGGTGGCCAAAGCCCGGGAGGGCGTGCAGCAGTGCGGAGAGGGGCCCAGCCCAGAGCGGACCCCGGAGCAGGCTGAGGACGCACACAACAGTGATTCCGAAGGGGGCCTGGGCCTGGGCTCCCAGGGGCCAGCGGGCTCAGGGGGCAGTGCCGAGGCCCTGCTGAGTGACCTGCATGCCTTTTCTGGCAGCGCAGCCTGGGACGACAGCACTGGGGCAGCTGGAGGCCAAGGCCTCCATGTCACCGCACTATAGGGCCAGCCTCGGTGTCCCATCTTGCCATGGCCACTCACTCACTGTGCCCCTGCTTCCCATGCTGCCATGGCTGGACACGGCCCCCAACCTCCACATGGAGCCCCTCAGACTGTCACCCCCGCCGGTTCCCAAGTCTGTGCATCTCCATCCCCATCCCCATGGGCATTGGGCAGCTATTTGAAATAAACGCCCCCATCCCTGCGGTGTGTCCTGTACCGACCCCTCCCCTCCTTATGCAGGGACTCCTCCTGGCACAACCCCACCCACTCCTGCCCCCAGAGTCCACCAGAAGAGCCAGGTTGGTGTCATGATTCAATCCTTTAATGTCCACGGGCACAGCTGGATGCAGGAGGCCAGGTGGGTGGTGGCCCCTCCACCAGCAGCCATAGCCTGTAACTCTCCACACTCATGATTCCAGGGTACAGCCACCCTCGACAAAGACACTCCCATACCCCAAACACACCCCCAGGTCTCTGGAACTGGCCCAGGGTCCAGCTACCCTCATCCCTACCCATCCTCCTAGCGCCCAGGGTGCCCACGGCCCTTCTTGGACTTCTTGGTCCCTGAGGGGGGACGGATGGGAAGAGGGGCAGTGCTCGAGGGTGGTGCTGGTGGCGGTGGCATCAGGAGTGGAGGGAGAGGTGGCTCCATGGGCTCTGGTGGGCCAGGGCTGGGCCGGAACCCTTCAAAGGGGGAGAACTTGAGGGGACTGTAGGGGAAACCAAGGCAGAGTCAGAGCCTCCTAGGCCCCGATGGCCTGCAGGCACTGGGTCAAGGAGGGCAGTCTCCCACCCACCTAGGTGCACAGACTGTAGCGTCCACAAGCTCCCACCCAGGTCCCCATGGTAGATGAGGACACTGACTCTAATGCTGATTGAGAGACTTGGCCGAGGCAGCCCAAAGCTACAGATGGCCTCCTGGCCACTGGAGCCCTGCCCCTGCCACACTCTGCCCTGCCCCTCGGTACCTGATGGGGGTGCGGGGGCTGCTGTGGAGGCGCCGGGGGGAGCGCCGCTTGGGCTGGAAGGAGAAGCCCTCCTTGATGCTGTCCAGGACGGATAGTGCCACATACGTGAAGCCCTAGGGGCATGGGCAGGACAGGCTGACACTCAGTGTCCACCACTACGTGGCCACAGTCCCTGTCCCGGTCCCCATAAGCACCAGGTCCTCACCAGGAAGGCCTGGTTGGCGCTCTCACTGAGGGCCGTGTCGTCTGGACTGTCCACTGGTGTCTGCCGCGTGAAGCGGCTGTCAAACTGGCTCACGTCCTCCTCTGACTGCTGTGGACAGACCCAAGAGAGGAGGGGTCAGAGGGCACCCAAGAAGTGGGTCCTCCACCTGCCACTGGGCCAGCGGACCTCCACTCACCAGACAGGGCCTGAAAGGGGGGTCCACACGGCGAACCAGGAGGTCATCCCAGTTGATGTGCCGGAAGAAGGGGTGCCTCTGTGGGTAGAGAGCACCCTCGAACATGCCAACAGTTTACCCTGCTCGGCTCCCTCAAGTAACTCCCTCTGCCCAAGGTACCTGCCCCTGTACGGTCACTCTCGGACCTTCAGCCCTGCCCCCTTGTGGTGGTCCCAGACCCACCTGCACATCAGCAGCGTCCCCTGGGCCACCCCCAATCCGTTGGCTGGGATTCCGCTTCAGAAACTGTAGGACCAGGGCAAAGGGTGAGGGCCTGGCCGGGGCGGGGTCAGGTGGGGTGCGGGGGAAGTCGCTGGAGTGTGGCCTCCACCTACTGACTCCTTCAGGACTTTCAAGGTTTGGTCCAGTGGCACCCTCTCCCCGAACCCTTTGCAAAGGCTCCTGGTTGCTGACAACGCCCAGGGGCTTCCTTGAGGCTCCATCTCCAAATCAGGACTGAGCACCTCCCCTCCCCCACCACACCTCCAGTGCTCACCTTTCGCTGGAAGAGGGGTTAGCTCATCATGAACAGTTTGCTAATTAAGATTCAGCTTAGGGACTGGCCAGGGGCAGCCGCTGGTCTGAGTCAGGGCTGAGGCCTAGGCGAGGAATCCTGGGCCCCACACAAGAGCTTTCCCACAACCCCACCCACTCCTGCCCCCAGAGTCCACAGCTCATCATGAACAGTTTGCTAATTAAGATTCAGCTTAGGGACTGGCCAGGGGCAGCCGCTGGTCTGAGTCAGGGCTGAGGCCTAGGCGAGCAATCCTGGGCCCCACACAAGAGCTTTCCCTCCCAGGGGCTCGCCACGCAGTGACCTTTCCCTCCCAGGGGCTCGCCACGCAGTGACCGGGGTGGCTCCAGCTTCTTGGAGGCCCAGGGCAGGGAGACTCAGGAATGTGTGCAGGGCCTGGAGGAAGCTGGGGGCCTGATCATGGACAGGAGGGGGCCCCACCTTTTTGACAAGGTCCCGGGCATCTGGGGTGAGGTAGGGGGGCAGCACCAGTTTGCCCTTGACAATCTTGTCCATGGTTTTCTTCCGGTTCTCCGCGGTGAAGGGTGGCTGGAGGAGGCAGCAGATGAGAGGAGCCTTGTGACCTTGCACCAGGTCCTGCCCGTAGTGGGGAAGGGGGGTCCTCCCATCCCACACCCACCCTCCTCCTGAGGGCTCTGGACTTGCCGATCCAGTGAGCATGTCGTACATCAGGGCCCCCAGGCTCCACCAGTCCACCGCCCGGTTGTGGCCACTGCGCGCCAGAATCTCGGGGGCCCTGGGGGCCGGGTGGAACTGTCAGTCAGACCAGGCCCTTTCTGGCTGTTCTCCCGACCCCTGGGGGCCAGCCAGGTGCCACTTACATGTATTCAATGGTGCCGCAGAAGGTGTGAGTGACAGCGCCCTCATGAATCGACTCCTTGCAGAGCCCAAAGTCCGTCAGTTTGATGTGGCCTGAAGAAGAATGTTGCAGGAGGTGGTCAGTGCCCCACCGCACCATGGGGCTCCTGGGCCCTCCCCATAGAGTGCACACCCCAGGCATGCCGCTGCTGCACGTGCATGCAGGCACACGTGCGCACCCTGGCTATTGAGCATGATGTTCTCAGGTTTAAGGTCCCGGTAGATGATGCCTTGGGAGTGCAGATGGCCCAGGGCCAGTGTGATCTCGGCCAGGTAGAAGCTGCAGAGACAGAGCAGGGTGAAGGTGGGGGATGGAGGCCAGGCACCCCACGGGAGGAGGCAGGAGTAACACCCACCAGGCTGTGTCTTCCAGGAAGATGCCCTCGCGCTCCAGATGTGTGAAGAGCTCGCCACCTGCGACACAAACACATCAGTAGCCATGTGCTGGGAAGGGGCCCATTTACTCTGAGTCTTGGATTCTTCCTGGGGAAGGTGGGGCTCATAATTCCCGCCCTACCTGCCTCACAGAGCTGCCGTGGGGATTCAATTCAATTCAGCAAACATCTATGGACGCCTATTCGGTGCCTGGCCCTGTGCTGGGTGAAGCTGGGGACAGAGATGAAGAGACCCAGCCATTGCCCTCAGAACACTCAGGCTAATGGGGAGACAGACATGCACACAATCGCTCTAATACTCCACGCTGGAGCAACACCTCCAAGAACTTAACCCCAAAGATCCCCCAGAGGAGACAGGAAAGAAAAACTTCATCCCAACACAAGAGAACGGAGAAAGTGTGGTGGCGGTGGGACTCGAAGGGGATGCTGAGATGGAGGGGAGGGAGTACAGAGCGTGGAGGCAAGGCTCACAGGGCTCTTCTGGTACAGATGAGGCAGATGAGAAAAACAGGCCTGGACGATGAGTAGGGGACAACAGGCCAAGGAGGCAAGGCTTTCTCTGGGCAGCTACAGAGTCACAGAATTCTGACTAGCTGTGTCAGGAACAATCCCGTGCGCCAGGAAGACGACCCTGGCAGTCAGAGGAGGAGACACTAGAAAGCAGGTGAGCTGGAGGCCTCAAGCCTCATTAAAAAACAACTGTGATTCCTCACCTCCCCCCGAGAGTGCAGGGGGTGGAGGACACTGCAGAGAATGAACCAGCTGGATTTGGGACCTGACTGGATGCAGGGCACCCAGGGGAGAGGAAAAGGACATGAAAGGGTAGTAGAAATGGATAAAACCACCCTCTGGACTTCTTTAACAACTCCCACCATTCCTATCCACCCCAACACAGGTGAGACACAGTCGGCACTGGACAGACGTTTGCTGAATGAATGGACGGACGGATGGATGGACAGATGGGCAGTGGTGTGGGGGCTCCTAGCCATTCTCCATGACCACATGTCTCAGGGTTTCCCCCAGAGCTACCTGTGCTTCCTGCCCCACCCACACCCCTGGCTGCGCCCGCAGTCATACCACTGAGGCACTCGAGGATGAGGTAGAGTTTGCCACCAGTCTGGAAAGCATAGGCCAGTTCCACAATGAAAGGGTGCTTCACTGACTCTAGAATGTTCCGCTCAGCCCGCGTGTGTGCCGTGTCCTTCGCATTGCGCACAATTTTGGCCTGAAGAAGCAGGAATCAGTTAGAAGGTGGGGTACCCAGAGCTTCTTCAGTCCCTCCAGCCATTACCCTTCTGTCATCCTCTGCCACTCCACTGTATTTTTTCCATAATTCTGCTGCTGTCAGCAATCATCCTTTTCAGGACTGGCTTATCCTCCAACACAGGGTTTCTCAACCTTGGCACTACTGACACCTTGAGTCAGATAATTCTTTGTTGTGGGAGGTTGTCTTGTGCATTGTGGAATGTTTAGCAGCATCCCCGGTCTCTACCCACTGGATGTCAATAGCACTTCCCTCTCCAGTCTTGACAATCAAAATGTGTCCAAACATTGTCAAATGTCCCCTGGGAGGCAAAAGTGCCCCTATTTGAGAATTACTGCAAGACAATATACATCACAATAGATAATAAACTGGCCAATGCCACGTCTCCTGCATCATGTTAACTGCTGTCTTCCCAAAGCCTGGCTTGTGCCTTGGGAATGGCAGCCAATCACTATTTGTTGGCTAAATGAATGACTCACCTTCCTCAGGACTTTCATGGCATATATTTTGCCCAAGTTGGTGCCTTGCACCTTTCGCACCTGGAACACCTGTAGAGCAGGGGAGACAGGATCAACTTTCCTCTCGACATCTAGTCTTCAAGAAGCCCCACCCTGAAGCTCTGGCATTGGGACCAAGAGGCCTAGGCCCACCTAAGGGTGGGGCAGTAAAGATTTCAAGTCTGATTCTGACAGCATTTGCCCTGCCCTCCTTTATGTTCCTAGATCTGAATTCTATCAGAGGCTCTGCTGATTTACAAGTCTTGTTTGTTTTGAGAATCCATTGCTGGCACAAGATTGAGGCTATGTGGTCGTGAGGAGGGAGCACCAGTACCTTGCCATAGCCCCCCTTGCCCAGCACACTCAACAGCTCAAAGCAATGGGGTCCGATGCGCTCAGGGCCCAGGTTCACACTGGTCTCAGTCAGCTCCACCTCCTCATAGTGTCCCACAGGCCTATGGACACAAGAAGTTCATGGAGGCAGGCTCCAGTGCTCCCCGGGTCTCCTTCCCCACCCCATTCCCCCTCCCCCAACACGACCCTCACTCACTCCAGGCCAGCCGCCCTCGACTCGGCAAGGGGACACGCGTCCTGTGAGAAACCGAGGGGTAAGAGCCAAGGGAGGTGCCGGGATACCCCCCCTCCCCTCCGAGGTGGACTGCTTGGCCCGGGGGAGAAGGGGGTGAGGGATGGGAGCTCGCAGAGGATGGGCCTGGCCTGGGGAGGAGAGGACTAAGGCAGAAAAGAGAATCCGGGGAAAGGGCTGGGGGCCTGGAGAGGTGGGGGAAGGGTGCTTCACAGCTGGACAGGGGCGGGGATCCGTCGCGCCCGGGCGGAACACTCACCGCGGGGCTGAACTCTGGCTCGCCCTCGCCCTCGCTGCCTTCCTCCGTCTCCAAGTCCAGGTCAAACACGGCCGTCATGGCGGCGCCGGCCCCGCGGGCCCCTCGGCCCGTACCTGGCCGCGCTCTGACAGACAGTCCCAGGCCCGGGCCTTCACGTCATCATCCCGCGACGGCAGCCGCGCGCGCCGATGACGCAATGACTTTGCTCACTCTCCGGCAGGCCGATTAACCCACCGGAGAGAAAAGATGGCGTCCGTCGCAAGGCGTATCGGGAGTTGTAGTCCCAGAGTGCAGGGAAGCCCACACTTCAGCCTGCGGAACCCTCTTCGGAGGGGCCCTCTGGCTTCCCAGCACTGCTCCCCAGGGTCAGCACTGGACAGGAGCGGCCTGGAAGGCCCCCATTTTGGCTCTGGGGAGAGCTTGAGTTTGGATGGGTCAGAGTGGGAAGTGCATGCAGGTTTGAGTGTAAATGCAATCCCCAGACCTGTCGGAGCCGTGTGCTGCCAGGCTGGCTGGGTGGCGAGGGGCAGGTCGCCCTCCTCCCTACTCGCTCCTGAAAGGAAAGCGGCTGCATCAGGGCCTCCCTAACGTGCCTCTGGCTCGAAGACTCTGCGGGTCAAAGCATTTACTGCGTGACCAGCTCACTGCCGGGTTCTATTGCCAATTCCTTGCCCTAAAGATTTTGGGGCTCATTGATCCACCTGTAAATATGGACAAACTCAGTTGTCAATTTAAGCACATTTAGTAATTTGGCCGCCTGGTACAGAATAAGCACTTAACAAAACTTTGTTGAGGCTGGCCGGTTGGCTCAGTTGGTTAGATCCTTGTGCTGATAACACCGAGGTCCAGGCTTCCATCCCTGTACAGCCAGCCGCAAAAAAAAAAAAAAAAAGCAGCTTTATTGAAAGAATAAACACTCCAGACCTCGTCTATGACTTCATTTTTATTTTTTCTAAAAAGATGACCGGTAAGGGGATCTTAACCCTTGACTTGGTGTTGTCAGCACCACACTCTCCCAAGTGAGCCAACCAGCCATCCCTATATGGGATCTGAACCCATGGCCTTGGTGTTATCAGCACCACACTCTCCCAAGTGAGCCATGAACCAGCCCCATTGTCTATGACTTTAGATTGGTCATGGATTCTTGTCTCACATGGCTCTGGGGGTGAATTGGGGCCAGACCAGGCCTTGAGTGTGAGTTCTGATTGTTGGAGGCTGTCTAGATGTGTATTCCAGCTGCACAGGGGAGGCTGGGTATAAACTCAGATGGACAGAACTTAGGGGTCTCCAGCCTGGTAGAGGGTTATCTGGTTGGATGTGGCATTCTGGCTGTAATTCCACCAAAGGAGATCCTCAGGTTTGGGCCCTGATGTGGTGTAGGGAAGGCCCCTACTGAAGGTCAACCCAGAGGCCTGGCCAGTGGGGTGCTTTTCCCTTAGCTCCAGATGCTACAGGTATCACCCTCACTTCCCTCCCCCCCCTGCCCAAGCTGAGCCTCAGAGGAGTTGTCCAGTTGAGGGAACCTATCTCAGACTCCAGACACTTCACTAGTCTGTAAGCCTTTATTTGGGGAGGGATGCTTGGTTGCTGTCCACAGCCCCTGTACTGTGCAGAGGCAGGAGTTCCTAAAGCAGCCTTCCTTGAATTAGGTAGTGTAGACTCTCATCGGCCAATGCTAGTTAGGTGTGACAGGGGCCAAAGCACTGAAGTTTGGTGGAAAACGTGCATGGTGCACAGGAGGGAGATGTTCAGGGCCACTTATGGATGAGGGCAGGGAGGTGAGGGGGGCTTAGAAGCTGAGTGCACATGTAAGACTTAATAAAAGTGAAAACCTGGACCTTGCATCATGTCCCACAACCCTCCATCCACTGTGGTATGACCTTGGGGCAGTAATTTTTCCTCTCTGAACCTATTCCCTCACCTGTAGAATGGGGGCAATAGTGTCTGCCTGGAGGTGTGAGAGATGACACTGCTGACCACAGATCACTTCCTTGTACTGCCGGAGAAGCGGCAGGGCACTGCCAAGGTTTTCAGCAGGCTCTAGAACTATCCTGGGATTTGGGTAAGAGGAAGACAAAGGCTGTAGTCTCAGGTTTTCCTGGGATTCATCCAAGACAAGAACCCCCCTTCCCCAGTTCTCTTCTCCTATAGGTGGCAGAAAGAGAGACAGACCTGGAGGGGTGGGGAGAGGGGCTGGGTTTGAATTCACTTCCAGCTGGGGTGGGGGGGATGGGGGCAGCAGTATGTGTGTGCAGCTGTTGTCACTTCTCCAAGACTAGAGTCCTGGGGCAGCCGTGGGGTGGGCTGGGGCCTTTGGGAGAGCAAGAGGGCCCGGCAGCCCCCAGATAATTGCTTTTGTGGCGCTTGAGCCCAGGAAGCCTTTGGTGTCAAAATGGCCCTACCACTCTGAAATAGACCTGAGCATTGGAGTGGGCCAGGCCGGGGCTGGGGTGGGGCCATAGAGAGAGGGGCAGGGAGCACCAGGGAGCAGAGGGCACTACAGCTCCTCTCCCCAGCACTTCGTCCCTGCCCCCAGCCCCAGTGCTATTTGAAGTGAGACAGGAAGTAGGCAACAGGGTAGTTGGGCCCGTCAATGCCCAGACCCTGGCAGAGTCCCAGCAGGCGGAGGCGGGCCTCAGCGGGGCTGGACCCCGCACAGGCCACACTACAGTAGGGCTCCTCGTATTCGCCAGGCACCAGGGTCTCCTCCAGCAGATTGAGGCGCAGCAGGCCCTGGTCCTGCAGAGCCTGCAGGGTCTCCCGGTTAGTGGTAGAACTCAGCATCTGCTGGTGCTGGGATACCAGGCACATGACGCCCATCAGGTGGCCACGGGCACGTGGGTGGGTGGGCAGGGCGGGACGCAGACCGCAGGCCACCATAGCAGCAGCCAGTAGCAGGTCCACACCATACAGCTCCAGGATCCAGTCACGTAGATAGAAGCCACCCATGCGGGGGTTGATCTCAATGAGCCGAGGCCCAGCCCCGGTTAGCTTGAGCTCCACATTGAAGACCCCATCAAGCAGCCCGCAGCCCAGGCAGCAGCGGAAGGCTGCCTGCACCATCTGCGCCTCCTGCTCTGGTGCCAGCCCAGTGGGCATGCAGGCCGCTGTCTCAGTGAAGCCAGGCAGTCTTGTGGGGCCATTGTCAGAGACAAAGGCAGCCAGCAGCCGCCCACCGAACACCACCAGGTCTACATCGTGCTCAGTGCCTTCTACAAATTCCATCAGCAGCATGGCATTGCCCCAGCCCAGCCCAATGCCTGGGTAGTCAGCCTCCCCCTGCAAGTCACGGGCAATCCGGGAAAAGTGTTCGTGGCACTGTGGCGCATCTTCCACCAGCCGCACACCCACTGCACCTGCCCCAAACTCCAGCTTCATGACGCCTGGCAGGGGTACCTGATGGACAGCCCTCTCCACGTCAGCTTCACTCTCCAGTGGGCAGCAGGGCACAGCATGGAGGGAGGGCGCAGGCCAGGGCGGGCCATGGCAGCCCAGCAGGTGCAGTTGGGTGCGGCTCTTCTGCTTGGCCAGGCGCATGGCAGCCGGGGGACTGCAGGGCAGACCCAACTCCTGGCAGAGCATGGCTGTGAGCACCAGGCAGTCGTCCCAGTAGGAGAAACAGCCATCTAGCTGCAGACCACGTGCTCGCACCAGCTCTGCCAGCAGCCGTGCGTTCTCTTCATCCCTCCGGTGCTCCGTCGTGTCAAAGTGAATGAAGGTTTGCACCAGCTGGGATGCAAAGTGGTTGGGGTCTGACTCCACCAGGTGCAGCTGCAGAAACCACAGGAGGATGACACACCCAGGTCAGCTGGTGCAAGCACCTGCTGTGCCCTGGGGAGATAGGATGGGGTGTAGGACATGGTCCCAGCCCTCAGGGGAGACGGGCTCACAAACACTAGGTGTGCTCAATAAGTATTTGTTAATGACCGATTGAATAAATGGAGGGTGTGGAGGTGGGACACCCAATCTAGCTTGCAGGAGAGAAAAGGCACCTGGAGGAGGCAATGCTTAAACTGGGAGCTGAAGAATAAGAGCCAGCAGAGGAAAGGAGAGGCTAGGAGAGACGGCTGCAGGAGGAAAAGGGCATGATCTGGGTGGCAGTGGGCTGGAGTGCAGAGGGGAGGCTGAGAGAGCACTCAGGAGGCTCATTCCCACCGGCAGCCTCACTGCCCAGGGCCTCTCTCTGCAACCGGGGTTGGGGTTCAGGACAGGCTGTCATTCACTCCATGTGTTCTGACACTGGGAGGTACCCATGGAGGAATCCAGTGAGGGCATGGAATGCCAAAGCCCACTGCCCACTGGTACCCAAGGCAGAGGCAGCCACTGAAGAGGGACGGGAGGATGGCTGTTTGCATTGTAAAACTTGGCATCAGGAGTGGAGTGACATCCCAGCTGGAGAATACAGTGTGCAGGGTTGGGAGCGCAGGTGGCATACCCCAGGGGAAGAGGAGAGAGGGGGAGAGAGGGAGGGGAGGAGAGGTAGATTAGGGCCAGCTGAGAAGGCCTCAGTTTTCTTATCTGTTCAATGGGGATAATGTCTACCCGCCCGGCTTGCTACAGATTCTGTAAGGTGGGACCACTGCTGAGAACTCGATTTGGGATCTGTAAGCTGCTCCCCAGCACCCTCCGCGGACCCTGGGTGCCAAGTGCCAGTTCAACCTCAAAGGGCCAGCCCTTTCCCCTGGATAAAGCCAGGCTCCTTAGCCTGGCATTCAAGGACCCAGCCCGGCTCCGTCTCTGGCGCTAACCGTGAACGCCGCCCCTGGCCCCGGGCCCCCACTCCCCCAGCCTATCCTGGGCTCTTCTGCCCCTCTTTCCGCGGAGGGATCCGTGCCCTTCCGAGGGGCCTCTCACACTTGGCAGGGCCAGAACGAGCTTACTCCCCTAACCCCGGCGGGACAGCGGATCCCGACCCCGCGCCTGCGCATTGGCGCCCCGGGCAGGCCCCGCCCCCAGGGCTGCTGGTCACGCCCCCCAAAGCCCCCCGCGCACGCGCCTTGGCTCCAGGCCCCGCCCCGGGGTCCCGCCTCCACCACTCAGGCTGGAGCTTGAGGCCCCGCCCCGCGCCGCGCCCCGCCCACCTTGAGCCCGTAGTCGCGCGCCGCCTGCCACACGAACTTCTTGCTGACGCTGCCCGCGCCCACCAGCAGCAGCTGCCTGCCCTCCATCAGGCAGCGCGCGGAGCGCCGGAGCATGGTCTCCA